GCTTATTAGCACATTATGGCAGACTTACCTTGCAGGTGATCCCCTCCATTGCTACAATGTCTGCTTCCTCCTCTGCCATCGACACTGCCCTCTTCTCCCGGTCTTCTTCTGGGTTCAGCGTCTTTCGCTTCTTGATTGATTGGGCCGACATGCTTTAAAAACTCCTGTGCTTTGCACACATGAGTTACCGGTACTTCATCTCGGCACAGGACCTTGCTGAGATTGCTCACCGAGCAGCTCGTGTGTGGCTCAGTGCACTTGCGTGCTGACAGGCAGGGAGGAACAATTATGCCAGAAGAGAAATAGAGACCCTTCTGCCCTAAGAGATGCACCCGTCAGTTGTTTGTTTGACTTTATTTCCATTTTAAATGATAGGGGTTTTCTACTTCCTAAAATTGAACCCTTTTTTTTTTTTTTTTCTCTTTCTCGGCCATTTTTTTTTTTTTTTTTCCCCTTAAATCCAAAAACTTTAATCTTGGACTTGTGCTACATCTGAGAAACTGGTATCCTAGCCTGTCCATTGAGATTTAATAGTCTCAGTTTTCAACAGGGATGTGTTAGAGGAACTCCAGCTATTGACAAAATTAACCACTGCAAGGATTGTTTGTTTTGGTCTGTGGCTGGATTAAAGATATACTTGACTTGGCGGTCTAAACCCCTCTCACATCCTTATGTGTAATACCAGTCCATTCACCTGCATTGAACGTGAGGACGTGGAGGAACAGATCACAGCCGGAGTGGAGGGGGAGAGAGGTAAGCGATGACTGCCGCACGACCGTGGATCAGGTGAGCATATCTCCTGTATTCTGGCCCATAGATCAAAACGAGCAGATAACCCTTGCAGTGCTGGGGAAGTAATTATGTCAATAGCTGTGAAGCTTCTGCCTTCACATCACTAATATAGAGTGAAGGTCCAAGTTTTGAAAAGCTGAAATTCAGGCAGATATAAAAGACACAAATGAAAGCAGCTCTGTAATCATGAATACATCCATAGGGCTCATGCACACGAGTATTAAAATACTTACATCTGGCATAAAATTCCAGCGTAAAAAACACGTGCGTTTTGGTGTAATTATGCATGTTCTAGAAGCATGTCCGCATAAGCCAATTCTATTGACTAGAATATTCATTTATTGTAGCCACTGGAATCGACTTGCATACACAGACATATACACATGTACGTTATGGCAGCAATCTCCCCTCTGAACGTGGCTTTGGGGCATTTTATTGTTATGCCTCTTAACACTGCTCTACAATACAGATCTAAATGCCACAATGTGCATGGCCACTTTGGCTAATATAGAGATGCATTCAGAGGCATACAAAATGCCTCTAAGGCCTTATTCACACTGCCGCGCATATACGCGCGTACGTATGTATTGTACCATATGCAACTTATGCAAATAAATGGCTCCATACACACAGCTGCGTATGGAGCCGTATATATGCGCAAAAACAGAATGGAACAGAGATGCATCCGTGCAGCGTATCTCTGCGTATTTACGCGCACATACGCGTTTGTACGTGCATGGATGCGTACAGCACATTAAAATTCCATTACGAGTGATGCATTCTGGGATTGCAAAATCATACCCTATTCACATTGGTGGTATCTATTCCCTGTCATATTCTTTCTCTCCCACACACAGACTTATTCTCTGATTTACAGGTCTGGCTAACAGATGTTGAATGAGATCTGTGAATGATAAGTGAGGCCCTTAAGATCGGGGTTCTAAAAAGTACTATTTTTTTTTTTTTTTTGCTTTGGCCAATTCTTCGTCTGAGCTCATACTATGGAAGTTAATAGGTTGCTGCTAGCAGATTTGCCTGGGACAGTCAGTGTGCATTAGCCACTTTGCACTGTAACTTACTTTATCCTTGATTAAAACATAGCTGAAGCTGGTTCTGCATATCCTCTATTGTGCTTTCTAACCAGTGATTACTTCTGTGATAGGAACGTCATTGCCAACGAAGACTTTTAGGCTGCTTGAAACAAACAAAAAAAAAAGTATTGACTTTGATCACCTCCAGGTATTTTGTGTTTGGTGGATGTGAGGTACTGTGTTGATGGTGGGGAGTGGCTTTGCACCCAAGGTCTATGAGACCATAGTTTAAAGTAAAAAAATGCATTTTTAAGATTTAACTCAAATAGTTAAGTACCTTAACTATTAACAAACATCTACCTTATTTGTGCATCATTTAGCTGTAGATCCTCAAATCATCTCTGAATTGGTGCTGAAATTGTCCTTCCTTCTGGAGGGTGGCTACTTTTGTTCCCCATGGTCCCTGTGTGTGTTGTAAAGTAGCCACCGCTCCAAGCTCGCTCCTGTGATGGACTACAATCTCACATTCAGTTTACTAATTTGTATTAAAAGTATTGTCTTTCGTGGAAATGAACTTGGCGCGGTGGCTACTTTAAAGCGCACAGGGACCACCCTCCAGAAGGAAGAACAGTGTCAGCATGAATTCAGAGATGATTTGGGGGGTATACGGTTGAGTGATACACAAATACGGTAGATTTTTGTTAAGGCACTTGAATGCATTTTACTTTTAACTGCTGAGTTTAGTATCACTTCAGTGTGACTCCACTAATGCCTACAGAAACTGCAGGAATGATGTAAAGACCTCCCTAATCCTCTACCCCTGTACAGTACATGAGGGCTTCCAGTCTTCTGGGAGGCCACACTCTATTTTAATGTTTTTCTTTCGGGAAAAGACTTGTAGATCCCATTGTATCAAAGCTAATAATACACAGGCTCTTGGTGTATGAATATTCTTGGTTCTGTGGTACAAATGTTGGCTGTTCACACAAGTTATGAAAAAATGTCAAATATATATACATGCTGTATATCATGGCCTATGCACAACTCTTCTATGGAAGCCCTTTACAGTCACAGTGGAGCTAAAATAACTCCGTACATGGAAGTGTCAGGGAGTACTTCATTTGATGAATCCCTGCCCTCTTCCTACAAAGTCCAACTCCTTTTTTTTTTTTTTATTATACCAATGTATTGTGATGAGTCCAGTAAACTATTCTGCTGCAACAGACGTATGGGGGTAAATGTGTGAGCTGATGTTCCTACTGAAGACAATCATAAGTACTTATAAGATGTGGTGCGTTTTAGAAGATTCCCTAAATGTTAGAGAAGCATTCTTTTACATGAGTGTTTAGAATAAGGCTGATGGTAGCTTTCCAATAAGTTATTGCACTATACTCCTCGCTTCTGTTATTTATTTGTGTTCCTGGAAGGCGTCCTTATGATGGAACTCCTGTAGTTAACCTAGTCAGCAGCGTGGAAAAAAAATACTACGGTCTATTTTACATACCATAAAACAATGAAGCATAATAATTACTTCCATACTGTGCTGTGTAGTAGTATATCTTTAGTCTGTGTGAAAATGTTTGTGAAGCATGTTTTTCCATATTAATGGACTGATTTATAAAAGCTGGAGAAATTGATATGTTATCCACAGTAGCCAGTTAGAATACTGCTTTGATTTGACAGCTAAAATCTGATTGGCTTTTATTCCTCTACTTCCTTAATCATTTAATTTATACATTTAAAACTTATTTCACCCTGGCCAGTCGCTGAGAGGTCTATGCTAGGTATATGGGCTGGCGAAGTGGATAAATATTTAGGGACATCTTCTAGGAAGGGCTTTTCCTCCCAGGCCTTGCCTGAAGAGGTGGTGTATGTGAGGGATACTTGTCTTTGCCGAGGGAGGGAGTCCATGTGAGAAGAGAGCCTTGGTCTCTTAAGCTTGTTGTCTGGTGAGGGTATATTTCCAGGCACAGGTCCAGTAAGTGCTTCTAAGGTCTGTTGCCTCAGGAAGGAAGCTGAAGACGAGATCTGTCTGGTCAATTGCCATTCTCGTTAAAGTCTCACAGCTAGCCTGTGAGAGGAGCTGTAGATACTTAAAGGTAGCTGTCTGAGCATTAGCCTGGGGCAGAGGCATAAAACTGTTGAGTCCACTGAAAATATATTAGAGTAGAGCGATTGTTTTTTTGCTGCACTTTTTGGGAATCCTGTACCCCCAACCTTCTGTCATCTACATTTGTGGGCCAATAAAATCTAAAAAAGACACGGGAAGTCTGTCTGTCACTTTTCAGGGGTTTGTGTGCCACTGAGCGCAAAAGCCAAATTAGCAGTAGAAAGGCTACTAGAAGCTGGATGATGGAGCAACCCTTCCGCTTGGTGGGAAAGGCCAAAATGGAGTTTGTGTAGAGCAGGGGTCTCAAACCTCCGGCCCTCCAGCTGTGGTGAAACTACAAATCCAATGATGCATCGCTCTTCGAGAGTCATGTCTGTGGCTGTGGGAATCTTGCAATGCCTCATGGGATTTGTAGTTCCACCACAGCTGGAGGGCCGGAGGTTTGAGACCCCTGGTGTAGAGGGAAGGTAGGAGGCATACACGGCACACCCAAGGGGTAGAGACATGGTTATCATGTGTGGCATTTGTGAAGCACAGATGAGACTTATTCAAAAAACCACCAAAGTATGTACAGTACTTGAGTGTGAACACAGATCTTTTTCCAGAGAAAGTGTATTTCAACCCTTAACACTTATTCTGTTCTGAATAGTCAACTGAGCAAATACTATAGCTGCCAGACAATGATAAGATATTATGCATATGCACATCCATAAGTTTTTCTTCCAGTAAATTTAGTCTGCTTTTCTGCTGCCCATTCTTACGTTATATATTATAAACGCAGAACTACAATTGCCCTACATACAGATATTTGTATTCCAAACCCAGAACATCATGTATTCTACTATAACCTGCATAGAGACCGCATAGAGTAGTATTCAGACCTTAAGTATGTACTTTTATCCCATTGCTAAGATGTGCCAAGATCAACTGCATACCACATGACCCAGCAAGGGTCATTTAAAGTTGCCCTGTCATCCAAACTACTTTTAACTTCGAACACTTTTACAGATTTTACATAGAGTGGTTTCTGTTTGATATTCTATTTCATTCCTACTTTCTGTCTTCAGGTCCTCCTGTACAGCGGTCAACTTGATGTCATAGTGGCTGCTCCTCTTACTGAAAGGTTTTTGCAAACTGTGCCTTGGTCAAAGCTAGAGGAGTACAAGAAAGCTGAGAGGTCAGTCTGGAAGATCAGACAGACTGATACTGAAGTGGCTGGTTATGTTCGAGTCGCTGGAAAATTTGCTCAGGTGAGACTCGATTTTTTAATTTTATTTTTCTGTATGGGTGTTGGGAAGTGAAGTCATTGATGTTTACTTGCAGACATTATTTTTGTAATAAATCCTAAAGCACCCTTGCCTTTCTTTGGCTTGCAGTGCTAAGGTCATGTGTTTCATTTAGGGCACTTTATGCATAAAGGTTAATGTTATCTCCATCTTTGCATGGGCTTTCTTTGTGTCTTATGTTGTCTTTCCACACTGCTCATTCATCAGTCTTCTTCCAACCCAAATTGTATGTGTGTTGTGTGACACTTAAGACTGCCCATACACTATTAGATTTTTTTTCTCGGGTGAAGTAAAAAAAATCAGATTCCATCATCCCTGCTAAACAATGTGAATGGCTGAATCTCCCGCTAAGGTGCTGTTGTATTTGAACAGTGGGCACCTATCATTTTCAGTGTACATGAAAAGTGACCTGAAAATGTTCAGTCCAGTCCCTCGACAATTCGATTCCGTAATTGACATTTGTTGAGATGGCAGGGCGGCGCAGTGTAAGACGTTGATTCCTGTGAATTGGACAAAATTCTAACAGTGTATGGCCAGCCCTACACTGTAAGCTCTTGCAGTATGGGTATGTCTGTGTGCTCTTTAATGCACTATGGCGTGTGTATGTCTGTCTGTGTGTATGTGTTTGTGTGTATGTATATATACATATATTTATATTTTATACACTCGCACTGTATTAGGTGATGTGTGTTGTATTTTGCACTTGCATTGATCAGCCATAACATTATGACTAGAGGTGTACCAAAATGAAAATTTCAAAAACGAAATGAAAAAGTCAGGCTGAAACCGGAAATGTCGGCGTGTGCGTGTGGGTTTTTCTGTTTGGTTTTGTTTATCCCCTAACCTTTTCAAATTTAAAAAAATGTCATTTTTTTATAAACTTCTAAATTTTTTTTATATATTATATTTTTTACTAAATATTTGTATTTTTTTACTTTACTGTCGGGTGCTCTGGGGAAATATTGGGGGTCTAAACAGACCCCTGATATTTCCCTTTTAAAATAGAAAAAGATTGAGAACACAGAGTCCTCAATCTCTTTTTCTGCAGCCCCCTGTTATAAATGAACAGGAATCCTCTGCAGGAGTGTTCCTGTTCATTCATAACCTGTGGAGATAGTAGGTTTACCATGTCCACAATCATGAATGAACAGGAAGTGATGTAGATCACTTCCCATTCATTCATAATTGGGGACACAGTAAACATGCTCTGTCCTCAGTAACTTACAATCACTCCGCAATCGCTGAGTGCTTGTACCGGCTCTCCATCCTGACTCACTGTCACAGGAGGCTGAGCGAGCGATGTGGGGAGGAGAGCTCACCCTCTTGTGACAGCACTGACAGCCGTCTCCACCCCCACACCGCTCTCCTAATCTGTCACATGAGGCTGAGCGGTGTGGGTGGAGAGATGCCAGCCGCTCACAGCGCTCTCCTCCCTGCACCGCTCGGCCTCCTGTGACAGTTTCTCTCCTGCCCGCTGTACTCTGTGCTGTCAGAGGGGACACAGAGCAGAGTCCAGCGGGGAGGAGAGAAAGCAGGAATGCAATGCTTTTTTGGCCGGAAAGATGGCACTTTCGGCGTTTTGCCAAAAGTGCAATTTTTTGGTCGATATGTTTTGGCGGCCGAAATTACGGTGCATTCCTAATTATGGCCAATGAGAGATGAAGTGAATAACCTTGATTATCTCATTACAATGGCACCTGGAAGTGGGTCCGATATATTAGGCAAGTGAAGAATTTGTCCCTGAAATTGATGTGTTGAAAGCAAAAAAAATGGGCAAGCTTAAGTATTTGAGTGGCGTTGAAATAACATTATGACCACCTGCCTAATATTGAGTAGGTCCCCCTTTTTGCCACCAAAACAGCCCTAACCCATCAAGGAATGTACTCCACTAGACCTCTGAAGGTATGGTGTGGAATCTGGCACCAAGCAGTCAGCAGCAGACCCTTAATACAATGAGCATCACTTAATACAATGAGGAATACCGCAAATCTACTGAGAGGTGACACTGCATTTACACATATAGAGCAGCACAACAAAAACCTACACTGCTCGCTGCAGAGGAAATCTTGAATTCAGTTCCAATGTTTTGCGTTGGTGTGCACTGAAAACACATCGCAATGCACTGCAGACATAACAATAACATTGAAGTAAAAAAAAAAAATAAGCAATGCTCTGCAGCAAACACTTTCTAATCCAGAAGAAACTGGCTATATGGAAGCTCTGTGCACCACGTATGACACAGCAACTGTGATGGACAGCCCCTTTAACCCAGGGAGTGTGGCTATAATGCTCAGTGGGTCTTGTGGGGGAAAGTGTAATTGCTGCAGTGTTGTTCTTTAAAAATTCAGATGCACATATTCTGAATCGGAATTAAACTGAATCGGCAACACAGGTCTTTGTTTTCAAAAAATAAACGGCATATGTTCTGTTTAATAATATTCTTTAGGTATACAAACTAAATTGCATAAAGGTAGGCCAGAAATGAGCAGATCGTATAAGTTATTATTGGTGACTCCAGCTTACTTTTGCAAATTTCTGAAAACCCCAGGACTTCTTGCTTGAGTGTAGTAACCATTTTTATTTTCACTGGCAATAGCCTATTTCATCCTCTTTGTGTGTTTTAAATCAAAAGTATAAGATGTTTAAACGGCAACATCTGGTTCATATAAAGTAATGTGGACAAGAGGATCTGATAAAGGGACCATGTATACAGCCATCGGCATTGTGCTTTGTAAGAACCCTAGAAGCCTTGGTGTCTACTATTCGGCAGAGTCGCACGTGGGCCTCAGGATATTCCAGCGTGCACACTGCAGAGTCACACTTGGCAGGAGTCAGAGGAAAGCCACAGGAGTGCTGTCAGTAAACTGGCAGAGGTTGTAATCTAAAAGCCTTGAGCTATTGCAATCTCTTGCCACACAATTAGTTCTGACAAAGCTGCACATAAAATCACTTCAGGATTCCAAGAGCATTTGTTGCTTGAAATGTGAGACGTGGGATGCCAGCCTTTACCCTCTTGGGTTTTCAGGCATGTGAACATAGAGTTAAATTATAAAAAGAAAGTCTAAAATGAAGCTTCTAAAGTGCACACAACAGAAACTGCTTAGTTTCCATCTGGTGCATAGTTTAACACTGGGATGTTGCTGCTGGCTCTGTGGTGACATTGAGAGTTTTTGTGATTGTGATGAGAAGAACAAACACAAATAGAAGATTGCTTCCACATGCTTTCCACAACCGCTTTTGCTTTTTTTTTTTTGTAAAGGAACTCAACCATTCAGACTATATAACTTGGAATGATACAGCATTGTCTGCTGGTGTTCTTTTTTTAAAACTGTTGTTCAATCCAGTGATGCAACACGTTTACATCGACACATTTATGCAAAATCCAACTGGGCCAAAGGACTTGTTGGTGGAGGGTCTGTGTGATAAAATCATTTAGGGCTTGTTCACACAGAAAGCGGTGCGTTCCAGAGCGGTAGCTGAGCAAGCCCTATTTTTTGCATTTGCAGTGGAACTGAACGCAGGCAAAGTTTTTGCTGCTTGCGGTATACTGAGACGCCGCAGTGAAGCGGATCCCGACAATTATGCCGGGATCCGCCCAGCTGCGTGACTGACAGCTGGCTCTGCCTATCTAGAGGCAGAGCCAGCTGTACCCGCCCCCTCCCCCGTCCGTTCCGCCAGTCAGAGAGCCGTGACAGGATCGAGAGGTGAGCAAACGCCGGTATGTGTTCGCTCACCTCCCGATCTACTGAGCCGACCTGTGACAGTCTCATTGTCACAGGTCGGCTAGAACTAAGAGGTGAGTGAAAAGCACTCGCCTCGTAGTTCTCCTTTAAATCAATGTAACTATATCAAATATATTCTATATAACAATACAAAAATATATTCTATATATAAACCAGAGAATCCTATATTCCATCTAAAGTGAGATGGTAAAGGAGAGAAGATTCATCCAACACAAAGCAATAGCCTTGCAGATTAGAATGTTTCTGGAAGAAAGATTCTAGTTTAGTAGGGCGATTGTGACTCATCAGGTTAAGCAAAAAGACAAAATTTGGGTGCGTAAGGAGAGGTTGTTACAGATTAGCAAGAAGATCAATAACTTGTTTCCAGAAATGAGCTATGACTGGACAGCTCCAGGTCATTTGGGAGATGTCGTCAATCTGAGGCCTGGTTCACACCTCGGCGTTTTGTAGCGCGTTTGAACGCTCTGCAAAACGCTCAAACACCGAAATCCAATTATTTCCTATGGGTATGGTTCACACCTGGGCGTATTACAGGCCGTATGAACGCGCTACAAAACGCCCTACGCCCAAAGAAGTACAGGAGCTTATTTGGGGCGTTTTTGTCGCGCATTTCCATTGGGATACAGCCAAGTAAAAACGCGCGTCACGAAACGCGCGACAAACGCGCATATTCGATACGCCTAGGTGTGAACCCAGTGAGGAAGTATTGTCTTCATCCCATTTTGTGCAGGGGAAGGAGGTAAATAAATCTTGTGTACAATATAGTGAATGCATTTATTTTTAACTGCTGGAAGGACTAAATATGTAAGGAGCAAATGTCACCCCCCACTCCTTTGTAGTCAGGCTTTTACATCTGTTCATAATTGACCCAGTAATGCCTGTGTTGTATCACAGTGGTTTGTGAAGGTTTGTACAAACCACTGAAGACACCAGATTAAATACATTCTATTTGTCCAAACTGTTGTAGTCGGCAGCATAAACGTGTTACTACAAAAAAGTTATCAAAAGTGCCATTTATACCTAAAGACAGGCACCACAAGGTGAGAGGTGCCACAATTATGGATCAGAGGTGGTAGAGCCTGACTCGCAGTAATATGCATCCCCTCTGAAATTTTTAAAAGGATGCATAGCCAGTTATAATACAGCTGCACTACATACAGTCCAGTATCAGACACCAGTAGTGGTGTTATTGATTTTCATAGTGTCATCATCTCCCCTAGT